CTTTATTTTAATAGCATACTAATAAAATTGAATAAATTTAATAACAAATTATCAATTAAACTAAGGATTAGGTTAATGATTAATATTCGAATTTATAGAAAGTATTGAATCTCTATATTAATTCTATTGATAATAAAAGTAAATAGATCAAGAAATATTGTAATATTCAAAAATTAGAAGGAGATTTACTAAAATTGACAGAAATGAATAAAAATTTAGAAATTGAAAGTAATTAATTATACACATTAATAAATAGAAATTAATTTATTCAATCAAATGTCTCAGTAATTAGATGAAAAACAGTAGGAATATTAAAAAATATTAAAGGAATAATAAAATAAGGGTATTACTGATTCAATTTTTATAGATTAAAATGAGATTGATGAGTTAACTGCCAAGTTATAATAAAAGGAAAAAGAAAACTAAAATTTCAAAGAGTTGCTTGAACAAAAAAGTTAAGAAATAACTAATCTGAAGAAATAAAATGAACAAGATAAATTACAGATTATTAAGACTTTAGAAGATCAAAGTATTCATATTCATTAATTATATATAGAAAACAAAGAAATTTAAGAAATGACTCACTTAATCAATCAAAAGGAATCAGAATTCTAAACTATTTAAAGACAACTTCATTAGATTAATCAAGAAAAGTTAGAAAAAGAAAAACAATCTAAATTAGAATTAGAAAAAGTATTCTATTACAATATTTATTTATCAAATAGATTAAGCAATATCCTAAAACATTATTATTTTCTAATACATATAAGGGTGCTATTTGTTAAGTAAGCGAAGGTGGAAAAGTTGTTGAGAATAATAGTACTAGTTGGTTTTATTGTATTTGTGAATAAGCAATTCCAAAGAATGGGAAAACACTGTTTGCATTCTAAATGATTAGTGGAACTTATTTTTAAATTGGAATAGGATTAAGAGATATTATATAAAAAAATAATTATACAAGTGCAGGAGGTGAGTATGGGTATTAAATTAAATCATAATAGATCATATTTGATAGGTTAAACTGGTTATACTTTCTCTCATCATAATAAAGATGTTAATAATAAATAATTATCATTCACATTTACAACTAACGATGTAATAATAATTGAAGTAAGTATTGAACATAAGTATATTAAATGGATGAGATAGAATAATCCATTAGCAACTGTTGTAACTATCAAACTATTATTAGTAGCTAGAAATAGATACTTCCATATCATAAGAATTATATCCATGTGT